GCCCCCCCCCCCCCCGAATGTTTTGGAATTTCATTTGCTTCAGCTAACTTGAGTCATAATGTGGTAGAATGGAAGAGCATGGACGAAGACTGAGCTGCATGCTGAAGTTTTTTGCATTGATTTGGAACCCGGAGACTTCATCACGGCATTCGATTATCTCATGGAGAAGGAATCACTTTTACTGGGGACTTCTGGTGGGCTTCTGCTGCTGCATAACGTGGAGAGCAATGTTACTGAACTTGTTGGAAACATAGATGGAGGTGTCAAGTGTATCTCCCCCAGTCCGAGTGGAGATCTGGTCGGAATCATTACTGGCTTTGGGCAATTACTTGTAATGACCCATGATTGGGATTTGATGTATGAGAGGGCACTTGGCGAGGTTCCTGAAGGTGCTGACGTACGGAAGGACTACTTCCCCTTGTTGCCTTATTAGATTCTGTTTTTTTTCCTTCCTCGTGTTTTTCATCTGCTTGATTTGCTCAAAGATCTCTTTTATATATCTAGGCTCTAGCGTCATGAGTCCATGGTCTTTCTGCTAACCACATGAATGGAATATGGCTTCAGGTGGAACGGAGCATTTGTCTGGAAACTGCGGGAGAATTTCAATCTCTTGGCGAGGTGATGGAAAATATTTTGCCACTATGGCTGAGGTTGATGCCTTTGGTTCTTTATGTAGGAAGATAAAAGTGTGGGACAGTGATTCTGGTGATTTGCATTCTTCCTCAGAAACAAAGGATTCCATGAACGGGATTCTAGAATGGATGCCCAGTGGGGCGAAAATCGCGGCTGTTTATGAGAAGAAATCAGAAGAAGAAAGTCCTTCAATCGTTTTCTTTGAGAGAAACGGACTTGAAAGGAGTAGATTTAGCATTGGAGGACCAGTAAAATCAACTGTAGAAGCTCTTAAGTGGAATTCTACCTCGGATCTTCTTGCTGGTGTTGTAAGGTGCAACACACATGATGCCATTCGGGTATGGTTCTTTAGCAACAACCACTGGTACTTGAAACAAGAGATTACATACCCGAGGGAAGTTGGGGTAAGGTTCATGTGGGATCCAACAAAGCCTCTGCAGCTAATATGTTGGACTCTTGAGGGACAGATCACTTGTTGCAATTTTATCTGGGCAACTGCAGTAATGGAGGATTCGACAGCGTTCGTCATTGATAACTCCAAGATTCTCGTGACACCGTTATCTCTGTCCTTGATGCCGCCTCCTATGTTCTTATTCAGCCTCAGTTTTCCGAGTGCAGTACGAGATATGGCCTATTATTCGAGAAACTCCAAGACCTGTTTGGCTGTGTTTTTGTCAGATGGAAATCTGTCCTTTGTGGAGTTTCCTGCTCCTCATACTTGGGAAGATCTTGAAGGCAAAGAATTTAACGTCGAGATTTCTGGCAGTAAAACAGCACTAGGCTCATTTGTTCATCTTCTTTGGTTGGATGCTCGTTCACTTCTGTGTGTATCTCATTATGGTTTTAGCCACAGCAATTTCCTTCCCTTGAGTTCGTCTGAGACAGAGCTTCATGGATATTACATTCAAGAACTTGAAATTTTGTGCTCAGAGGGTCATGCACCTCATCTTGTCACTTACTCTGGTTTTGAGACCACAGTTTTGTTCCGGAATCTTCTAGAACCATCAGTCATTGCTCTTAGTTGCAATCCTTCTAAGAATGGTTCAGCCCTTGTACAGTTTGAAGGGGGTAGAGTGTTGGAGTATGCTTCCAGGTCGGGCATTGTGGAAGGTTCGAGTAGAAATGACAGCTTAGGTTTTTCATCGTCTTGTCCTTGGATGAGTGTGGTGCATGTAGATGCCTATGGCACCTTCAAACCCTTGGTATGTGGACTCGACGATACGGGTAGACTGTACATCAACGGGAGAAGGCTATGTAATAACTGCAGCAGCTTTTCATTTTATTCCAAGTTGGCTGATGGAGTGGTTACCCATCTGATTCTTTCAACCAAGCAGGATTTGCTCTTTATTGTTGATATTAATGATGCACTGCAGGGAGAAATGGAGCTCCGAAGCGAGAATTTCCTTATTGATGGTAGAAAGCAGGAAGCGGAAAACATGAACTGTTTAAACATCTGGGAAAGAGGTGCCAAAGTAATCGGCGTCCTGAATGGAGACGAAGCTGCTGTAATATTACAAACTATGCGGGGGAATCTTGAATGTATTTACCCTAGAAAGCTGGTCCTCTCTTCCATTACAAATGCGTTATCTCAACGACGTTACAGAGATGCATTAAACATGGTGAGGCGTCATAGGATTCACTTCAATGTCATTGTGGACATTTATGGGTGGCAGGCATTTCTACAATCAGCTGCCGAGTTTGTTAAACAGGTGAACAATTTGAACCACATAACCGAGTTTGTCTGTTCCGTCAAGAATGTGGACGTTACGGAAACACTTTACAAAAACTTCTGCTCGCGGAAGGGGGACAAGGATCTCCAAGTGAAAGATGATTGCAATAACAAAGTGACCTCAGTTCTAGAAGCGATAAGGAAGGCCCTTGAAGAACGAATACCAGAGAGTCCAGCAAGGGAGCTCTGCATTTTGACCACTCTTGCTCGGAGTGATCCTCCTGCCCTCGAGGAATCTTTGGTGAGGATTAAATCCATCCGCGAAATGGAATTGCTAAATTCTGGTGATCCGAGGCAAAAGTCTTGCCCATCTGCTGAAGAAGCCCTGAAACATCTTCTATGGTTATTGGATTCCGACGCAGTCTTTGAAGCCGCCTTAGGCCTCTACGATCTGAACCTTGCAGCCATTGTGGCACTGAATGCCCAACAGGACCCGAAAGAATTCCTTCCTTACCTTCAGGAATTGGAAAGAATGCCTGAACCCCTGATGCGTTACAACATCGACCTCAAATTGCACCGTTTTGATAGCGCGCTTAGAAACATTGTATTAGCAGGGGACAATCACTATTCCGATTGCATGTCCCTGATGAAGAAAAACCCTCAACTTTACCCGCTGGGACTTCAGTTAATTACCGACCCTCATAAAGCAGAAGAGGTTCTCGAGGCTTGGGGAGATCATCTCAGCGACGAAAAACGTTTCGAGGACGCTGCAACAAACTATCTGTGTTGCTCAAAACTGGACAAGGCTTTGAAAGCATATCGTGAATGCGGGGATTGGAGCGGGGTATTTAGAGTGGCAGGGCTGATGAAATTGTGTAAAGACGAGACCTTGAAATTGGCTTATGAAGTGTGTGAAGAGCTTAATGCCCTCGGGAAACCAGGGGAAGCGGCCAAAGTCGCTCTCGAGCATTGTGGAGATATAAGTGGTGGAATCAATCTGCTCATCAATGCGAGGGAATGGGAAGAGGGATTAAGGGTCGCCTTTTTGCATAGAAGAGATGACATGATCTCGATGTTGAAGGACGCTTCGTTGGAATGTGTGGGAAGTTTAGTAAGCGAATACAAAGAAGCATTAGAGAAAGTGGGTAAGTACTTGACTCGTTACTTAGCTGTTCGGCAAAGAAGATTACTGCTCGCGGCTAAGCTCAAGGAGGAAGAACGGTCGGTATGCGATCTCGACGACGACACGGCCTCTGAAGCAAGTAGCAACTTGAGTGGAATGAGCGCCTATACCTTCGGGTACGTTTTCTTCATATAAAGCTTGCATTTTGCGAAAAGTGAAAGCTGAAAATAAAACTGTCTTAGTTTTCTTCATTGTTGGTTGCTCTCTCTGAATTCAACAGTTGATCTTAGTTGCTTCAAATAGTAATCGTTGTCTGATTTTGTGTATGAAGAACCGGACGCCATATATGATTGTGTTGATAAAAGTTTCTTCTGCTTGACCACCAGAACAAGGAAGGGTTCTGCTGCTTCTGTCGTCAGCTCGACTGCTGCCAGCAGAGCAAGAGAGTCGAGACGCCGGAGAAAAGGCGGAAAAATCCGTGCCGGAAGGTAATGATCTGATCTGTTTCATTAGACAAGGCATCCGCTGCATTTCCGACTTGTTTTTTTTTCTTTTCGATTTTCGCCCAAGAGATGAGCCGAGTAAGCACACAATCTAACGATGGGGGATTTTTGATGAAAATGCAGCCCCGGAGAGGAGCTCGCTCTCGTCGATCATCTTAAGGGTATGCGTTTAACGGACGGAGCGAAGCGCGAGCTTAACTCCTTGTTGGTTTGTCTCGTAACCCTCGGAGAAAAAGGGTATGCAAAAAAGCTGCAAAACGCCGCGGAAAACTTTCAGGTGACACAAATGGCGGCTGTAGAGCTGGCGGACGATACCTTATCCAGCGAGAGCTTAGACGAAGATACCTATTCTTTAGAACTCTACGTCCGAAAACTCGGAACCTCGGCTCGGAATTCTGATGCCTTCAGCTGGATGCTCAAGGTGTTCATCTGCCCTTAAGCCGGAGAACCTTGAATGAACTTTGTTTCTTACTCAGATTCGGGTTTTCACTCTACTGTCTTATACATGTTTCCTGATAATGTATTCATAGAAACAAATCTTCGGATCTTACAATGGGATTTTGTTTTGCAAACCTTTATATTTGATGAGGGCAACAACCAAACACGAGTTTTTACCGAATCTCTTCAAGATCCACGGTACATATATTATGTCTTTTTGTTTCAAACACCACACATTTAGACCCCGACACCACGATTCCACAAAATATAACAATCATGGCAACAACTCCCGGACAAACAAACGAAGTTCAAAAGGGTTTTTTTTTTTTTTTTTTTTTTTTTTGCAATAAAGACACTTGCGGTGAAACCCATGTAGAGCAGTGACATCACAAACCTCTCCTCTCTTAATTCGAGCGGCTCCTTATCACATCGAGACCCATTTCGGATGGATCGGTGGCTTGCAGTTCGATCTGGATCCCGTCAAGCTCCCTCTTGAACCTGTCCTTGGAGCTTGCATAAATCATCTTGTTCCTCACCTTCGAAGTATCGGGTGACCTTATCACGAAAAGAACATCAATAGAAATGGTTCGTTATGTGCCATCTTTTACATATGGGTAAGCCAGAATCAGAGAAATGATGGGCTCATCATTACCAGCCGACGAAGACAATCCGGCTTCTCGGGACGTTCTCATCCGTGACATAGTCAAAATCATACACAGCATAGCGGCACTCATCAGCAGGAAGGCTGGCAGAGCAATCCTCGTAACTTT